TGATTTTTGCATTAAAAAACACACACACAAAAAAAAAAAAAAAAAAGAAAAGAAAAAAGATTTCAGTGTCCAGGAACCACTAGGTGATGTGGAGATCAAGGGGCTAGATCCTACATGGCTGACCATGAAGTTCAAGTCCTCAACCCACAGGCAGGAAAATCACACCAGATACATGTGTACATGCCCAAAACCCTAAGAAGAGTGGAAAGAAGAGATTGAGAAGTGGCCATCCCTCTGGGGAATGATTTCTTACTCCCCCCACCCCTGTTGCTCTCTCTCTCTGCCTCTCTCCAGCAAGTAGAAATACGGTACAGCAAAACTTTAAAAAATAATAATGAAAATTATTCCAGTGCCCTGATCAGAGGGAAGGTGGCAATCCCATCAATAAAAATAGTATGGGCAAAGCTATGAGTGTATGTGTGTGGGGGGGGAGGGGGGCAAGATGGGTTCTTGAGGGGACAACTTGGCTGGGAATTCTGGGATATATGTAAAGTGATCGTGAAAGAAACATTTAGAAAATGTGTTCTTTTAATACTAGCCAAAGGAGTATACTCTAAATTCGATAAGCAGTAAGAAGGTATAAAAAATCTTTAGGGTAGGGAAATGGCATTACACAGAGGGGATTGGGACTATTCCTATAATAGCCACTTACAAAGAAGTAGACTGAGGGCTAGAGAAATAGCAGCTATGCAGAAAGTAATAAGGAGGCTGTTCTGACCCAAGTGATATACAATAATATCTGAACTAAAATGATGGCCATGGAATTAAGAAGACACTGTGAGTATGACAAAAAAAAAAAAGAAAGAAAAAGAAAAAAAACCTCAGCGAGTACAATATATTAACTAATTCAAATGTGTGAAACATGAATCAATTAGGACACAAATGTGACTTACTACAGTTCTAAGGGAAACATTCCTCATGTGAAGACACTTCAAATAATTTCAACATATTTTTATCCTTAGTTATTGTGTGTTTAAAAATTATGACTTCATAATATATTCATCCCAGTACCTAATATTTGCATTCTTGGTCTATTATAAAATATTCTTTTCAAAAAATAAAAAAGGAGACAAATAGTTTTACTAACACTAATTTATCCTGGAAAGCAGCATTTTTTAAAAAATTTGGTCTAGGAATGAGGACTAGGAATTTTATACCCAGTTCTTCTGGTTTTGTACTATGCGAAGGAAGCAAGTTACATAACCTCTCCAAAATGTAGCCATTCCTAGACTCAATAGTATTTTAACATCAACTAATGCTGATATCACACCTATTTTTCAGATTAGAACTTAGAGACTGAACGATTGTATGTTAAATTATTTTCCTTGATTAATCCTTTCTATTGCTACTACACTGATTTGTGTACTAGAACACCATGTTAGACAGACAGTGGGGGTCAACTTTCTGTATAATCCGTTATTAAGCATTTTTGCATTGAAAAACACAAACACAAAAAAAAAAAAAAAAAGAAAAGAAAAAAGATTTCAGTGTCCAGGAACCACTAGGTGATGTGGAGATCAAGGGGCTAGATCCTACATGGCTGACCATGAAGTTCAAGTCCTCAACCCACAGGCAGGAAAATCACACCAGATACATGTGTACATGCCCAAAACCCTAAGAAGAGTGGAAAGAAGGGATTGAGAAGTGGCCATCCCTCTGGGGAATGATTTCTTACTCCCCCTACCCCTGTTGCTCTCTCTCTCTGCCTCTCTCCAGCAAGTAGAAATACGGTACAGCAAAACTTTAAAAAATAATAATGAAAATTATTCCAGTGCCCTGATCAGAGGGAAGGTGGCAATCCCATCAATAAAAATAGTATGGGCAAAGCTATGAGTGTATGTGTGTGGGGGGGGAGGGGGGCAAGATGGGTTCTTGAGGGGACAACTTGGCTGGGAATTCTGGGATATATGTAAAGTGATCGTGAAAGAAACATTTAGAAAATGTGTTCTTTTAATACTAGCCAAAGGAGTATACTCTAAATTCGATAAGCAGTAAGAAGGTATAAAAAATCTTTAGGGTAGGGAAATGGCATTACACAGAGGGGATTGGGACTATTCCTATAATAGCCACTTACAAAGAAGTAGACTGAGGGCTAGAGAAATAGCAGCTATGCAGAAAGTAATAAGGAGGCTGTTCTGACCCAAGTGATATACAATAATATCTGAACTAAAATGATGGCCATGGAATTAAGAAGACACTGTGAGTATGACAAAAAAAAAAAAAGAAAGAAAAAGAAAAAAAACCTCAGCGAGTACAATATATTAACTAATTCAAATGTGTGAAACATGAATCAATTAGGACACAAATGTGACTTACTACAGTTCTAAGGGAAACATTCCTCATGTGAAGACACTTCAAATAATTTCAACATATTTTTATCCTTAGTTATTGTGTGTTTAAAAATTATGACTTCATAATATATTCATCCCAGTACCTAATATTTGCATTCTTGGTCTATTATAAAATATTCTTTTCAAAAAATAAAAAAGGAGACAAATAGTTTTACTAACACTAATTTATCCTGGAAAGCAGCATTTTTTAAAAAATTTGGTCTAGGAATGAGGACTAGGAATTTTATACCCAGTTCTTCTGGTTTTGTACTATGCGAAGGAAGCAAGTTACATAACCTCTCCAAAATGTAGCCATTCCTAGACTCAATAGTATTTTAACATCAACTAATGCTGATATCACACCTATTTTTCAGATTAGAACTTAGAGACTGAACGATTGTATGTTAAATTATTTTCCTTGATTAATCCTTTCTATTGCTACTACACTGATTTGTGTACTAGAACACCATGTTAGACAGACAGTGGGGGTCAACTTTCTGTATAATCCTTTAGTGCACCAGGCACAGTAGGATTTAATAAATATGTGGTATTCATAAAAAGAATGATGTCAGTTTCTACACCTGTAAAGTTAAGTAGTTGAACAAAATTACTTACTAAGTCTTTGATCTCTAATGTTTGATGATTAATGCATAACTATTTTTCAACTTCAACTACATACCTATAGTAATGATTACCATAGGACATGAATATGCATCTTTATTGAAAAGCATGATTTACATTCCAATGTAATCCTATCACTGTACAAACTAATTCCTCTACCTTATAAAAAGCTAACTATGTTTCTGCTCATGACTGGAAGTACCACAAGTACCAATAATATATTTTTGACCACCACTTTTTTTTTCTTTACCTCCCCTCATATAACCCTAAACTCCCAGTAGAAAATCACATTTTTTTTTTTTGGTAGTCACCAGGAATGGTTTCAACTTTTATTTTTCTGAAATCTTTCTTAATCTCTTTGCATTTATATCTGTTGAACCATATTTGATCTCCCATTTCTTCTACTGCCGTATGAGCACGATAATCCAGTGGTGAGGAGGAGTACTTCCTAACTCCTAGTTTTTCTTTTATTAGTTTCTCTTCCTAAATTCAGGTGTCATGTCCTTGGTCTAATATCCTTTGACAAGACACATGGTATTATAACATAACAGGTCATAAATTATAAATTAATCCTGTTTTTGAGAAATACTATCCAAATAATCCAGTGATTTTTATCTTTCTTAAAGAAGTATAAATTTCATTCAGTTTTTTTTTCCAATTACCAAATAACAGTTTTAGCTCTTATTTTAAAGTGTAATGGAAGAAGTTTTGTTCTGTATACCCTTCTCAATGATAAATGTTTCTTCAAGTATCAATGTTTAATATTTAAGAGAAGTCATAGAAGGTGAAGGGATCCAATTTCTAGAGAGATTTAAAATTTTCTGTGAATGTGGAGTTTATCAGAGTTACTATCTAGCTAATTATAGAGAATATAATCTTAATATGAAAATACTTTAAATGATTAAGATTTTAAAAAAGAATAATGATAAGGGCTGCCTAGGTTGTGGTAAAGAGAACCCTCCTACACTGTTGGTAAGAATGGAAATTAGTACAGTCCCTGGGGAAAACAACATAGAGTTTCTGCAAAAACTTACAGATAGAACAACAATACAACTCAACAATTTCACTTGTGGGTATCAACCCAAAGGATAGGAATGCACTCA